ACTTGCAGGACTTCCTCGGTCGGGAGCCGAACTCCGAGGCGTTCATACAGGAGCTTTTTGGCCAGTCAGCAGCATCGAACTTGTGAATTTGCACTGATTTACCACGCTGTGAGGGGAGTACCACGGTCTCATTTATCGACGGGATGGCTGCCACAGGACAGTCGCGATGCTCATGTACGAAGTGATATGTCCTTCAACTTCTCGGACTTCGTGTTTGCTCTGCTATCACAAGCTATTTCCAAACACATGCAATCTGAAAATTTGACCTCCGTAGCCCACGATGGCATTACATTCTCTCGTTGCAGCTCATTGCAGCACTATGTACACAACGGCTCGAAGTCTACATTAGCGGTATGCCGAGCGTACGTATCCGGATTCGCACTCAGTGCCTGGTCGCGCACTGGAGTGATTGCTGCGTAACCTGAGGTCGACTTCTACTCTTGGGCATACAAGTACCGGCGCATCCTGTCACTGGACATGCACAATGTACAGCTGAGTACGTTGTCAGGCTCGTTTGATACCATGGAGGGAGGTACGAGCGCTTGATGAGCGCTTCATTGACTTTCCGCTGACCTTCGTTTGTGGCGTCCGCATCGTCCGCATTGACCGCTACCGCCATGTCTCTCCGCCTGGCTGCCCGACTATCGCTGCCTTGTCCATCTCTAGTGCGCACGCTAGTCAATAGGGCTGCGCAACGACCGGTGCCGCCTCCTCGTGGTATGCAAGCTGCTATGTCACAGAACTTTCCTGCAGACTCAACCTGGCCTACCGCCGCACTCTCAGGCAACATCAAGACCCCGGAGGACTTCCTCAAGGCTATTGGCCGTTCGGCGGAGACGAAGCTGACGGCAGAGTCGTGGGAGCAGCTATGGCAGACTGACGGTCACCAGCTCAGGAAGGCGGGGCTTGCTGTGAGGGATCGCAGGTCAGTACCTGGTCTTGCCCGTTTGGTCGCACGAGCATAAGTGGCAGGAGGTGGAAGACGCTAACGCCTGGCTTCTGTCTCATCGCGGCGATGTGCACAGGTATATCCTTTGGAGCATGGAGAAGTATCGTCAAGGCCAGGACCCGGCAGAATTCGCGCATCCACCCAGGCCTGAGAAGAAGATTCGAGGGTGAGTAGTAGCGCAACTCGTGCACCGTCGCTTTGACCGTCAGCTCACCAATCGCCTCCCAGACGTGGTCCGGCTGTGCAAAACGGCAAGAGGGTTCGGTCGAGCAGGTACCGGTCACAGAATTGATGGCCTTCGCATCGTTCCCGGACCACATGTATACAGTATCTCGTACTCTGGTACCCTAATTCTCATGATGCAGTGCTGGCCTCGAAGCGTATACCTCCTGCTGTAAGAGGCAAAAACTTCTGATGCATGGGCTCTGCCTCCACTGTACTGCCCATCAGGAACTTCCTCTCCGTGCGACTGTAGAGCCTGGCTAGCCCTCCCGGCCATATTTACTGCTCTCCGCAACTCTCTTACTGAAGAGAATCAAAAAGTACGCTCCGATACGGGGAATCGAACCCCGAGCTACCGCGTGAAAGGCGGTAATGTTAGCCGTTACACCATATCGGATTGACGTTCAACGAACTTTGGATTGTTGTATAGTTGTATATGGCGCTCTTCAATCACTGTGCCACTGCTTACAATGTTAATGACATCGCCGTGCACTGCACCTTCCAGAGTATAACTTGGCGTTGGCCTGCTTCACAGATCGAGTGCACCGAGCCATCAATCTGTGAGCATATCAGACACGCGCGGACACAATCGCAACAAAGCAACGAGGATCCGACCACGTTTACCGTTACAATAAAGGAAGGTCACTAGGATGTGAGGTACCCCGCGCGCGGAGATCTGCCGATCATGCCTTGTTTTGGGTCGTCTTTACGGCGGCCGTGACAATAGCTTTGACCCTCGCTCGTGGCTTGGACCGCCCCGACCGTTGGCATAGCCCGTTATGTTCTTTCAACTCTTTGTCCTGGGACACCTGCTTCGCCTTATAAGTTCCTTCAACATGCCAGCCCTCCTCCAAACAACCGTCTCTCCCATCCCCCTTGTTCTCTCAACAACACCTTCCCAGGATGCAGTCCCAACGCTTCGTTGAGCAGGAAGATCACGACATGGAGTGGCTGGCACGCGAAGCGCCTCAGTTCCATACCCATGCTGAGCCGCAGCGCGTACCGCCCTCCTATGCCACCTCGCCTGCACAATGTGACGACGCTTCATCCACCTCGAGCGACGACGACTCTGCGTGTTCGGATTCCGATGATGATGCTCACCACCCGTACAAGTTCAACAACCCCTCACAGAAGTGGGTACGGGACGGCGACTTTGTCTACGCCGCAGACGACCTGGAGGACAGCTAGTGAGTAACCTCACTCGCTACCGATTGCTTCAACTCACTAACCTGTAATGTATCATTTCCTAGCCTCTCAACAAATCGGCACGCGTCTGGAGATGCGCCGTACGTCCCCGACAGACAAGATGCCAAGAACAAAGAAGATGCGGCGTTCCTGTCCTCCGAGCTTCCGCGCTACGAAGAGCCCTACATCTATCGCGATGCCGGTCCTCATAACGGGCCACAGACACTCTCACCGCTTGACCTTACCCCCTCGCTGTCACCATCACCTGCACCTGCTCATGACGCCCTTGAATCTCCTCGTACGCGCCGCGCCAGGGCATCTTCAAGTCGCGGTACCTACTTCTTCGACTCTGACGACGAAGCCGACATGTCTAGCGGCGACGACGCGTCCGAGGATGAGTATGTCCCTTCCCCGCGCATCAGCTCCCGTAAGCTGCCCGGTTCGGGTCGTCGCCAGTCACAGAGCAGGGTGAAGAGTCGCGCACACGCCCGCTACTCCTACTCCCCCTACCCATCTTCTTCCACGTCCGCATCCGTCGGCGAGTCCAGCGCTGCCGCTACCAGCTCCCGCCGGCCGGGCTCGCGCAATGTCCAGATCATCGACCAGGCCCCTCCGCCGAGGGGGAGCTGGGCCAAGACCGGCCCAGACGCGTACAAGTGTCCGTACTGCGACCATGTGCAGAAGAACAGGCGTTCGCCCGACATGGAACGTCACATACGGTCGCACTTCCGGCGCACGGGCCAGGCCCAGTGGGTGTGCTGTGGCCTCCCGCTCGAGGAGGCGATGAGGCTCGGCCGCGGTCGGGACGACAACCCGTGGACGTTCAATGGGGTGCTCATGGTCGGCGGGTGCCACGAGGACTTCAGTCGGATGGATGCGCTGAAGAGGCACTGGAGGAACGCGAACAACAACTGCATCGGCGATATCAGCTACGCGCGGGTGAAGGATGAATCTTCTCAGTGAAGATGCACCCGCCGACAGCCCCTTCTGCGCAGCCGGTCGTGGAAGGGAACCACTCCTAGCTGCCGCACTTTAGAGCGTTCTACGCACCTCTTCTCTATACCCACGATAGGTTTTGTCTATGCTGTATTGTATCGAGCGTTAGCGCAGGACATTTCTTCACGTCTCACCTGTATTCCGCCTCTGTTTCGCCACGTTGTATCCCTTACCATGCAATAATCACAACTCGCATTGGAACTATCCTTCTTCCTTCTGCCCAGGGAGACTTCAATCTCAGATGATCCTGATCGGAGATGCCAGTTCGTCGTAAACTACAGTAAAAATAGACGTACAACGGCCTGAGTCGCACCAACACACGCTTGTAAGGGGCGTGAGGAGATGACGCGCCACTATGCAACGTCTTCGCTCAATAGGACATATTCTCGAGCAGACTCGCCGAATTTGATCACTGTATACTGCTCAGTATCACGCTGCAGTAGACCACATCGAACGCACGCACCATCTCCGGCCATCAGCTCGTAGTACCGAGAAGTTGGGATAGTCTCGTCATTGACAATAGTACCGTTCGTGGATTCCAAGTCAATTATGAATGGCCTGCAAACGCGATCAGCTCGCCTTATCAGAACAATAGCGCAGGTGATACGCACTTGACAGCAGCTTTCACGTCGCCAAATTCGTTCTTTTCCTGAACTTGACGATCTGCGCGTAGACGCGGGGGAAGGTCAGGCTGCACGTAATAGACGCGTTCCGGGAAGCACGTACATTGAATCACGGCATGTTGTTTGGAGCAAGAGGGATGTTCGAGCGGGACATCTACCACCGTTTTGTCTCTCCCGAACAAGTACGCGCTTTGCCTGTGAATGTGCAATAGATCTACGAGTCGGGGGCGCCGTGAGAGTGGGCATCAGCATTAATCTCGAGAAGCGGCGAGTGGATCGAATGGAACTTACCCACTTGCTCCTTTCCCTTGAATACGTACAGCCGCCACCCCACGCTCGGTTTCCGCGCCTCCGGAGGTTCGTGGTACTTGAGTACCGTCTTCGTGCCGTCGGCGCGCTTGACCGTCTTAGTCTCCGCAGCTAGAAGGCCAGAGGGCGCGAAGTTGGGTTTCGCCTTGTCTTCCGCGGCAGCTGAACGAGAGCGCGATCGAGCTTCGGGTTGTGATGAGCGAGCGCGCGGAGATGCTGAACGACGTGACGGTCCTGCACGCCGAGAGTCGTCGTGTTCGCGGTCGCGGTCGCGGTCGCGTCGTCTGTCATCGTCGCGGCCACGGGCATCTTCCTTGTCCCGCTCTCTATAGCGGTCCTCATCTCTCAAACGGTCGCGGTCTCGGTACGAGTCTCTATCCCTCCGGCTCCTGTCGTCGTCCCTGTATGAGCCTTCACGTCGGCGATGCTCACCGCGGTCATCCCTACGAGCGTCGCGGTCGCGCCGAGAAGGCGGTGATCGTTCCCTATCGTCTCTATCGCGGTATGAGTAGTCTCTTGGCATCTCAGTGTCTTCGCTGCTTAATATAAGAGTGGTGCTGAGGAGTCGGGACCAAAGGACTGGAAGGACGATGGAGGACAGTGGCTGCAAGGGACGGTCGAGCTGGGAGTAGACTGTAGCGGGCGAGCGCTTTTCGGTCGATCGTCGCTGGACCAGCGCTTCGCACGAGTCATGGCAGAGAGGCAAGCGCTTAATGTCGGATATGGTGTAATGGCTAACATTACCGCCTCTCACTGAACGCAGCGTTCGCGGTAGCTCGGGGTTCGATTCCCCGTATCCGAAGCCTTTTTGCTCTTTGGCTCCATAAAGCATTATCCATTGAGGCGCCGAGTCTGCCCGTTCACATAGGCAAATGTAGCCATTGAGCATCACGATCGTTCAGTATCATGGTAATTGTTGGAGTGTATGACGCCGCCGAGCGTAGAGAGCGCCGCCTCGGAATAGCAGTACCGTACTCTCTTACTCAACGCCTGGAAGGCCGTAGCACCT